AGAAACACAGGTGACACAACAGTGCGTACAGTATATTATTTACAACATTTGAAGTAAATCTCCGAAGTTGTTTTTCGAGATCTTTGTGCAATTATGCATACGTTTGTGGTGTTAACGATTTTCGTTTTTTTATTTCGTTGCCAAGTTAGTAACCCATTGGGTCACAGTCAAACGTTGACGCCAGAGCACTCAAACGTTACCATTACGAAACACTCAACATTAGTTCTATGTTTAGTAACAATATAAAATAGTAATGATTAACCCTACTTTAAGTCAATACTAAAATTATTCGTTTATAATAGCCTGTCTTTGGATAAACGTTCTTTTGACAGTTAGTAAATGTATAACAGCTGATTGAAAATGTTCGTAAAATAAACAATAAAATTCAGTAGAATAAATATAATATTTTTAAATATTTATTTCACTGCTAAAACAAAGTTTGCTAAGAATAAATTGACTCAGTATTTTAGGGATACCGTATGGAGGGAAAGAGCTGAGTTAAATAATCAGTATTTAATTATAAGTGTTTTTCTCTGTATCGAGTAATCTTCAATAAACACTTTTTCTAAATAGTAAAATCTCCCCTCAATAGAATGTTTTCCCAATGTTTTACAATGTTTTCCCATTTACTGTATTTTTTTAAATTTGTTAAGATACTGTGAATGGTTTTTCATAATCACATTTTACAAGTAGTTTCTTTACTTTTCATTGTTATTTTTTTTCAGCCAACATGGTAAAGTCGTTTTCGAGATCTTTGTACAAGTATGCATACATACATGCATACAAGCAAACGTTGTTCGTATACAGTTTGTGCATAAACATTATCAATAAACATTGACTTTGCTTTTTAAATACACTTTTAGATTTGGTTCTTTCAGATACATAATTTTGGAGGTGTGTTGATTAGCATTGCCAAGGTTTTTTTTTTATTTTGTTATGAAGAAATTTTTTAAATGTGATATTAAACGAGAGACAAAATAATTTAAATGTTTATCTAGCTCTGCTAGAAGAATAAACATTGTTATTGGTAAACTGGCTTAGCTGCGGTTATTATTGGCTTAGCTGCAGATGTAATGATTTATTTCAGCACAGATAGTGAGGGAAAATTAGATACAAGAAACAACCTCTTTATATCATAAAAAGTATGTTTAAAATACCTCTCAATACTAAGCGTATCCAAAACAATCAAATATATCATGGGAAAAATTTTATCTACAAATTTATTAAATTCAAGTATTTAAATTTCATATTTTACCATTGAAACAATCCAAACTGGCTTTGTAAAAAGCATGGCTTAAAAATTATTGTACGTTAGGTTTGAGGATATAATGGAAATGAAGGGGCAGATTTAATTTTTTATGTAGGCCTATCATTATAATAGGTAAATAGTGTTTCCTTTGCCTTTATATGCACAATATTTGTCTAAAATATACAAGTAGGATATGTAAATTGATTTGTATAAATGTACACATTTGTATAGGTATAATATACATAAAAAATATACATGCACATAAATGTTGTAATCACAACAATCAAAAGCTACAAATATTAAATGTTAAATTAAAAGTATTTGTAAATGTCAATTTGTGGACGGAATTTTAATCTGCTAATTACTATGATACATTTCCTAAGATATGTGTTTTTATGAAATAAATTACACAAACCGAAAAAATATTGAAACAATGCTATACTTTTTCCTTAAACACAGAACATACACTATATTATTGTTTGGTCATGGCTAACACTTTACATAAACTAATATTTAGATTTAAATTTAATCTTTTATTGTAACTGTCCCTGTTGCTCAAAACCAATGATAGCTTACTACCTTAAATCTGTAATAGCTAAGAGCATAACGGTAAACTACATGAACACGCTTTATAAGTTGGGTATATCGATGGTTGGGTGTTCAGATAAAGTCGGTAATACAGTACGCTTTTAGGAGCCCGATATCTCACGGAGAAGTCTTGAACTACTAGAAGGTAAAGCTATGTTACCGACACGCAATAGCTCTCATTTATATTTATGTATTATTTAAATTGATATATGAGGTAATGAATGAAGATAAGTATAGTTCTGACGAAAAATTTGATTTCATTTCAAAAATCAGTTTGATACGTTTCATGTTGTTCATTTCAGTATTTAAATGTCAACTAAGTGGACATTTTCGATCGCAGTTAAAGCTTGAAGAAAAATAAACATTTCAGGATTTGAAGGATTCTTGTTGAACAAATTTAACATAAACTGAGTAGTTAAAAAACATTAGAAAGTTTGATCTATGATACGAAAGAAAATATTGGCGACGTAAGATAAATACTAATTCTATTTTTTAATTTAGGTGTTCACTTAATAGGGCTGCTGATATATTAAATATTTAAGTAAATAAGTACAACTGAGCACCCTGAATATTATATTTTATAAAAAGAAGTGACATGTTTCGGACATTAGTCCATTTTCAAACTTCAAAATACATTAAACACTTAACCGTTGTTTATATAGTTTGTTTGTAAATAAATATGATTTATATATACAGATGGTTTATAGAACTAGACAGGATTTGGAAAAACTTTTTTGTTACTGATTATTTAATTTTAAAATTTGGTCAAAGATTGGGTTTCTTGAAGGAATTTGGCTATTTAAAATATGATTTGGATTTTTTAGATTTTCTTCGTATATGAAATATTCTTCAGTTGAATCCATTCGATTTCCTTTGTTTAAAACTTTTAGAATTTTCATGTTGTTTTTTAAATTTGTGTAATTGTGGTTGGTCGATAAAAGGTGTTCAGCAAAGTTTGATTTCATGGAGGTTCTGTTGTTACTCTTAAGAGCTTGAATGTGATCTTTGAATCTAGATTTAAAAGAGCGTCCTGTCTGACCAATGTAGAAGTGTTCACAATCAGTGCAGTCAATTTTGTAAATGCCAGATTTGTCATAGATGTCTTGATGTTCTTTATTTGTATTAATGTTATTTGCTATCATATTGAAAGCATTATTTTTTGTTTTAAAGCCAATTTTGCATTCAGAATTTTGAAAAGTTTTTCTTGTAGTCCTGTTAAGAGTTGTATTGAATGGGATACTAATGAATTTACCCAACTAATTCTATTTCATTCATATCTGATGTTAAGCTTTCACGAACGTAAAAGTAGTATTTATTGGATTTCCGCTAAATCTATATCATTGTCATTAAACATTAAAAACAATAACATAAATATCAGGAAAACAAAATATTAATTTTTAACTTATTGCATTTAAATAAAATATCATTGAATAATGTAAAGCAAAAACATTCAAAAGTCGTACAACTGAACGACGGAAATCTATACTACAGTAATAAGATCTCATTATTATTAGGAGATAGTTTAAAAGAAAATAATAATGTTGGTATTGAGGGAGATTTTTTAATAAAATAAAAATAGAATTCGACTATTATTTAAATCTAATATGCAATTATATTGTAAAATATATTTTACTAAACACGAACTGAAGCAACCCAGGTTTAACTAGGAATATAAATTATTCAAAAATAAATTCACAACATCAAATTATCATTATATAAATTTATATTATAATACACTTTCTTATAACCTAAATGAAGTGTTTGAAATTGTCATATTATTTCGCTTAAAGAGGGTATAGGTAAGTGTATTTCTATTTAGTTAAAAGTTTAAAATCTCGTAGAATATCCTATACTCTTATATGAGTAATGTTTGCTTGTATGTATGTTTGCACAAAATTCTCGTTAACGGCTTCAACGATTTCCTTCAAATGCTGTAAGCAATTATTTTCTAACCTGAAAACGTGTTGGTTTACAGCAGTTAAAACTGCAAACAATAACAAAAATATAATTACGTAAAATAAATTATATTGAAATTCAAACAGTTTTAAGATTGGCCTTATGGGTAGCCAAGTAACCATGTTGGTTAAACAAAATAACAAGGAAAAAAGTAAACAAAAGACTTGTAACATGTGTTACCATCAGTGTACTAGCAGATTACAAAATCCAGCACAAAGGAAAAACCATCAGTTGTTACTATTAAGCAATGATTACACTTAACTGGAGATATTACTCGATATAGGTGGAAATAGTTTCGATAAAATACTAATTAATTAACTTGGCTCTCTCCAATCAAAACTTAATCCCCGAAGTACTGAGGGGAATCAACTTTTGTTTTAACATTAAAATAAATACTTAAAATTTTATTTATTTTATGTAAGTAAGAATATTCAATTTTTCAATCAGCAGTTTTAATTTAAACAAACTGTCAAAACAATATCCATGCAAGTATAGGGTATTAATTAACGCTATTATAAAAGATTTTTTTTTACTATCGATCGTAAAATAAATTTATGGGTTGTAAATTTCAGGGTTAAAATTCCCATTATAATAAACTGAAATTTCACTGAAACTTATATAATAAAAGCCAAAATTGGTTATAAATAAAACGTGAGTTTCCTTTTTATTAATTTAAAAATGGAAATAAACTACACCGGGCCATTGCTCGGTCACCAGGTACTTTATTTAAATATATGAAGTAAGGTATAATCCGTGCATATTAAGAAAATAGGTTACACAAAAATATTGTTTATTTATACAGCCCAAGATAGTTTAAATTTCTTCTATAAACATACCACTAGAATTTCTTATTATTTTACAATCTAAGTAATAAAAAAAATGAATTTTACATTAGTTGATCTATAGTTTGAAATATGGAAACTTTAGCAGAATGTTGACTGTTTACATACACGGGGACCATACGACTGCACCCCTAGTATACGAATATACACACATAGGTGAACAATTTATAACTCATAGCTATTCTTAAAATGACTCAATAACAAAATAGACCTAATGGTATGTAATGTAAATAACAACTAAATAGTGGATTATAGGTATACCTTTCAACATTCCAATATCCTCCAAAGGTTAATTTATATTCGTGTAATAGTTCATACCTATTCAAAACGTTTTGTATAGAACGTGAAAGAACAAAAATGATACTTCACAGACAGAACAATAAAGAACTCCCGTGGTCTGAAAATCACATAAAATAATTACAGGCCACAAACAATATCACAAACATCAGGGTGGTCTGGATAGCATTGCAGACGATGAGGGAAATGAAGTTTCTGTATTACAATGAGTCAGTAATGGTGTGCCTCAAGGGTCATACCTTGGACCCATTCTTTTCCTGCTAAATGTCAACGACCCAGTCTGACGCACCGCATTGAAACTGTCATCAATCAACAGACAACATTGTCTTTATTATCCTTAGTAGGATGATTTGTTTACATGATAAAGCTACAGTTAGGTGAGACAAAACTTAAAATGTGTTAAAATACGAATCTCTTATTCGAAATGTATTCACACAATTGATTATCTTGAACAAGACCATATGGTTCTATCGGGTAGGATACGTGGAATCAGTTCATGAATTGCATTGATTCGTTTAAATCATAAACATTATTCACTTCCCTAAGATAGTATTATTATAGAGTCCAGGCGTTTTGGTAGTAGCTGCAACTAACCACGTGGTTCCTTATGTTAGAATTCTACAGGAATTTCGCAATGATCAAATCGTTACATAACGTTTTTTTAAGCCCGTGCATTTTTGGAGCACATACACGTGCATGACCTTTCCTGTCTCATTTGACTATCATCAAGGAGATTTTTACATTTATTAATAATTTTATTGACTTCACTATGTTGTTTGGGTGGATTACCAACCAATCTTTTGGATTACCAATCTTTACCAACCAAACAATATCATGGTGAAATAAAAAGAGATCTTATTAAATGTAAACATCTCCTTAACAAAGTGCTTTGTTCTAAGAACTTATATTTTAAGTAAAGAAAGTAATAGTGTTTTATTTTGTTTGTACATTTTTGTCTTCTCTTCAACCCTTGTTAGCGAGAAATCTTCAGGCAGACGGAATTTGTATGTTAGGGCTTGACTATTAATTTCTTTTTTTACTTCACTGGATTATAATTTTGGTATTACGTGCCCTTGATAAAGTTATAGTTTTGTTTGCAGCAAAGTGGCCCATTCCCATCAGTTACTTAACTACTTATTTCTATAGCGCTGCTAACAAAGTATAAGCGCTGGATAGGATTATGTTATCTATCTTATACGCAAAAGTTTGATGATTGCTGAACGGAGAGATAACTTGGTCTAAACCAAAGCGTATTTTATGTTCCAACCAAATATCATGGTCTAAAAAATATACATTTTTAGAAGATCACTCTACTAACTAGTTACAGTAACTAGTTTCTAACTAGTTAGTAACTATTAGTTAACTAGTTTCACTTTTGTAAAAAAAATACTCATTGTGGCTTGTTCGTATAGGAAGGATGGGAAGGATATCTAATTCAATATTCAGAGTCAGGACTGTAGTCATGTATACATAGTTTTTTATAGGAGATCTTAGTTGATATTTTTTTTTACTATAAATCACTTTAAACCAAAAAACATTGGATATATACATCTCAGGATACAGGAGACACAGTAGACCAGAGCTATGGACGTTATCAGCACCAGAGCCACAATGTCCAGCAGCAGGTACTGACCGAGACGGAGGTCCACGGACGAGGGTCTCAGTTGTGGTGCTCCATTGTGGTCTAGGACGTACTCCACCCAGTACACGGCTATCTGAAGAGCCGTCCTCGGTCTGTCTCGGAACTTTGCCGACAGCTGTCTGGCCTTCAGTGTGAACCTGAAGACGAAATGTGGTTAAATCGGAGAGTGGTAAAATAACTAAGTACTTCGTGTGGCTGCTGACACAGCTGGCACAATAAGGAGTAAAAAGTGAATCATAAATGAGAGCATAGGTCACCTAGTACATCAAATTACAGGTAATGCCTCGAATCTAGAAAAATAAGATTTATAAAATTTGGTATCCCCAAAAACATACTTTACATGTGAAAAAAAACTTTCCCAAATCCTGAATTACTTCATACCCCTATTTAAAAACGGCCTAGGAGTAGATCGCATGGGCATTTTATGCGCGTTTCCATGTTACTTAGTAATAAAGCTAACTGTGGTTATCTTTTGACACTAAATAAGGTTGAAGTTGTTAATTTAAAGTCACTGCCATAGCTACGATGAAACTATTGTGATTGTGTTGTAGAGATCTTATATGTAAAGTACTACTCAATATGATCTTTAAGACTCCTTGCGGGTGAAAACCTTATGCTAAAAAAATTATTTTTTAGGTATAGGATTCAGTTATTTATTCCATTAACTGGAATTATTCAAAACATGAAATAATGTCTCTCTACTCGGTATAAAACATTGCGTAGGAACCAAAATCTAGTTAAATGGATTATATAGAGTAAAAAATTAACTTAAGTCAGTAATTACTTATCAATGTTTGTATTTTCAAATTCAATGTTACACTGAGGATTTTAGAAAATATTTTTTTTTTCAATGAGCTTTAAACTAAGAGCTTGCTTGGGGTATTTACATAATTAAAATAAAAAAAAATCATGTCTTTAATAATCTCAGGAGTGAGAATCCATTAAAATAACAATAGAAAGTGTGCTGAAGTACCATTACTCCCTGCAAAAGTGAGTGATATTTTGCGTTAATAATATTAATTGTCGGTATCATCAAGTATCGTGTAGGAATAAACATATTGCATCTTGCATTCTTTATTCTTAAGGATCAAGATTTGGACCTCAGGCTCGCAAATAATAAGAGGCACTTAAAATAAATAGTTCACAAGTTAATTACTTTCTTTTCGTAAAATTTAAAGTTCTCTTCGATTACCATAATTATAAAATTATAAAACCTACCACTTTGGTTGCAAGAATAAAAAAAAATCAAGAACTCTTACAGCAGGAAAGTAATTGCATTGTATTGTTTTAAATTGCTCTTTTAGTACTAACGAGTCCTTATCCTTGTGACGGAGTTGAGGTAAAAGTGTATCGTGCTAATTAAAGTTTTATACTCGTCAAATTCTGGGTCATGGAGCTGATTTTACGTCTACTCTGATTGATATGTCAAAATACTAATGAGAGAGACTGAAGCAACTCTGAGGAAAGTTTACGATTGAATTGGTTTTCACTGCTCAAGGCAACATGATCAGTAGACGGGGTAAATGCAAGTGAAATAATGCAAAATAATGTAATCATTAGACAACTTTGCCAGGGGCTGTGAAATGTTCATAGACATTCCCTTGGTAAAGGAAACTATTTGTGCCGGGAAACTGAACAGGTAACTTCAGATACTTATTGTAATAATATTATAAAAATGTTAAGCAGTTTTTACCGTGCAAACTAAATTACCCCTCCTATAAGTCCCGGTTGTTTAATTTATAAACCTACATAAGGATTATTTTACAATAAGAATAACCAAAACTTTTACTTTTCAGTGCACTATTCAAGCTTCTAACGAATTCTGTCAAACGAAAATACAGCCCATTTGAACATTATTTCAAATCCCTCATAATATTTTAAAGTATGTTGTTTTAAACGAACATAGTTTTTATTATTTTCTGAAGAGCTTCAAAGAAATTAATTTGTATAAAAACTAAAGAAAATAAATATATAATCAAATAATTTATTGAATTATAATATGGAGTTTTTTCCTTTGAGGAGTAGGCCTAGATCATATAACATAACTCACTTCGACTATTAAATGGAAAAACATTTTTATCCCTGAACTTTGAAGTTCTCAAAGCTTAACTATAAGTCAAGATAAACAGAAAACCTTAATTTATTGGGGTTTTTTCAACTAAAATTCTACTTTTTAGTTTATCAATATTTTACTACCTTTTTACCTTAGAAAATGTGAAATTATCTATATATTAATAGGCAAGCATGTTTCTTTTAAACCTTTTTTCTCAGCTCGTGTGCATCGTAGGGAAAATCTACGCACACTGTTGGAAAGATATTTACCTGTAGATGTGCAGAATCCCTTTATAAATTAAAATAGGCTCAAAATTAAGCACAAAAAATTAATTTAAAATTTTGAAAAAATTAACATGGATCTTATGGGTTGCCATGCTGGTGATGAAATAACAACGAAATATAAACGGAAAATCTAAACAAATGGAAGAAAATCCAATCATATGTTTTATTCACAGTGTGGGATGAAAATAAAGAAGTCTGAACATTAAATATTTTTGGTCGAGTTTCGACCACTGGACGACCTCTAGTAAAAATAAAAGAGCAGTGCAGAAACGGTATTAGAAAATTGGCCACCACATATTTTATATCAGCCATCGTATACTTAGTCGTACATTTAGTTGTAAGTGGTTTTTAACATTTGTATCAAAGTTTGTTTGAAAAAGAAATGCATACAAATTGACATAAGCCACTTAATATTAGTATTTTGACTGTGCACTTAGTTATAGTAATAGTTGTAAAGTAATTTTACAAAATTCCCTGAATTATCATCACTTAATTCATAGTTCATTTAATGTTAACTGACTATTATACTTTAATAAGCAAATTTGCGATTTAAGATTTAACAACGTCATCGTCTAGATAGTGAACCTTTCAAGGTTATTTGACGAGTACAAAACTGTAACTAGCACGATACACTTTTACCTCAACTCCAACCCATGGACTAGTACTAGCTAGTACTATAAAGATCAATTTAAAATAATATAATGTAATTACTTTCTTACTGAAAGGGTTCTTGATTTTTACAAATTTGATAAATTGTATTTTTTTATTCTTGCAACCACAGTGGCAGGTTTTATATTTTTGTTACATTACGTAGCCCATTTAAGAAAATATAAATGTTAAACTACCCAGCGTAAAATAGGCGTAGTGGATTGAGCTGGATAATGGCATTTCATTTCAACATTTAGATATTAGACGGCAAAGCTATTAGCAATTAATAAGACTATCATTCACCTAGGCATGATTAAAACATCGTTGTTTAAGAAATACTTTGCATTATATTTGGCACGACATAACACTGATTTGATCGGAACGATAATCATTTGGTATCCCTTTTCTAGTAATCGTGGTACCCCCTTTAAGATAAAGTGTGGTGCTGTTTGGGTTTGTTTTACAAAGTCAATTTTATTTACCAAAGAGGAATACTTTACGACGCAGGTTATATTATTGTACATTCCTAAACGTTCTTAAACTTTCAATCCAAAACTGTAGACAGTATTGACTGTGACATCAACAAAGTTTGTGCACGCCAAAGTTTAAAACATCTGTTTTTTCTTCAATGGACCAGGGTTTTTGATAGCTTGTACTTTAACATGAGTTAGGGTCTATAAAGTGTTAAACTGTATTAAAATTTTCATTTTGAACTGCTAGCTGCGAGTCTTTAAAATCAACGTACAAGTCTGTATATATCTGATACTTATAGCAAACCATAACTTGATCAGTTATATTAGGTAAACTCTTATGACCGAAATACTCCAACAAGCCAAATAAATATTCCTTTTGAGTGTGGAAGTTGTAATAACTTCCTATTAAATGAGTAAAATATTCTGCGACTCACTCAGGGTTGATGAGCACGCTGCGCAGAGCTGAGTCCAAGGTCTGTTCACTGATATCGTCAATGTTCAGCAAGACCCCAGCACCGTGCCTGACGATGGTCTTGATGTTGAGGAACTGGTCTGAGAAGATAGGCACGCCGATCACAGGCTTGCCATAGTACACTGCCTCCGTGATACTGGCAAGTCCTCCGTGAATGAGCAACGCCACTACGTTCTTGTGTTCTGCATGTAAAATGTTCAACAATGTTGTTTCTTATATTTATCATGTTGAGAACAATAATTCATTTCGAAACACAAACATAAAATTCAAAGCCATGTCTTTCATATGACCTTACCAAATGCAATACATTGTTAACGCTTCATTAGGGTTTACAAATTAAAAAAGAATTATTTCTAAAGTGACGTGTATCCACACTATTAAATAAATGATAACACTTAAATAAGGAAATAAATATGTTTTAAGCATAGCCTGTGTGGAGTTTCCAAAATATAAATTAAATCTTTTATGTAAATTTTATGGACATATTATATATAAAATAGTGTCCTAATCATAAATTTCATTCTTTAAAATACCCAAAACTTAAAATGTAAAACCTGTAATGGTTCCATGCATAGTGAGCATTTTACTGCAAATTTCAAATGTTGAAGAATTATGATTTTGTATGAGTAATTATATCTGTTGAGTGTGATTATTTGGAAACACTTTTATCGGACTGTAAAAATATTTTAAGTTTCTAGGAGAATAAGATTCGTAATGCATTTATTTGTCCAATACAACAACTTTGTATGCTTTACTGTGATTATTATTATAATCAAAGGCCACTTACCTAGCTAGTGTCACAAATATAGCATAATAATTTGATTAATGCCGTGATTTAAATAGGGGGTTCAGATGGTTATATTGACACTTTTCCATTACAACAATTATTTTATCTAGTACATATTATAAACACATTTACATTGAACATTCATTAGCTTTTAAAAAGACATATTTTCGGAGAGAAATTTAGTAAATGATAACCTTAAAAATCATCAACAACATAATGAACATTATAAAAGTATAACTTCTGACTTGTTATGTGAGTAGGAACAAAATAATTTTTATTCTAATTATAATAATTATAAACTTCATCAGGTACAACAAGATTTTAAAAGAAGCTGTATCATTATTTGTGTAGAGTTTAGTTTGCATGACTTCATATAAAACATGGAAATTCACGTAGTTCCGGTTTGTAACCACAACATACCTGTGATTTCTCTTTGCGGAAGCCATTTCCTGACTACAACGTTTTTTGGAACATCCGCCAATTCCTCTTCATATTTAAGAATTACTGTTTGAGGAATTTTCGCAAATGAGGCCAAAAATGCCTTTAATAAGTTGTCTGGAAGGGAAGCCATGCGAACCATCGATCCAAAACTTACAACAACGACTCCTGAAGTGGATTTGTCAAGAATGTCCAGCAAGTCCTGAAATCAATTATATTTGGTTGTATGTCTTATTATAACAAAAATAATTGTAACCGAAAGTCTGAGGGGTTGCTTGTAATAATAATGTATTGGCTCTCTTGAGCATACGATGGTAATGTTAAATAAACAAAAATCTAGAAACCGTATGAAATAATAGGTCTGAGAAGTGCACTTTCGACCTAGAAACAATGGCACTAAGGCTGCATAGTGCATAACACATTGTTCCTCTGGGTAATGTTAAGCTCAATGACAACATCGTGACGGTGTTATGCAATGGAAACAAGCATGTTAGTTGCACTGTTAAACATTTGGTTAAGACTTAACAGCCTGCATTCTAAGTCGAGGTCGTTTAAACATCGTACAACACTTCCTTTATCATTAACCTACAATACCATTGAAAACTAAAAGTATATTAAAACTCAAAGACTCTTTCTATATTGTTACATGTCTATTTTTAGCCTAATTTCCTTATACAACTATCGGATCCAACACATCAGCCAATCAAATTTAACTGGTTTAAAATATCGTGTAATAGTTGTTGGTGTAACTCTGCTGCACACAAGAGAAATGTTTACGGACAATCAGTAGGCGAGTGTGGAAAGTTTCTCGAGTGCAGCAAAGGCAGTTTGCACTCGCGTTACACATTATGTTTTTCATACAGTTACTATAAAGAATATAAATAATTAGTCTTTCAAACACTGTACAACATGTTTTTAGGATAGGTTAAATCCAAACATTGAGCGAAATGGGAAACGATGCACCAGCTGATCGTAGTCGTAATATTTTTAAGTGATGTCAACTTATTTTTAAGGGTACACGTATTACGTGCTTAATAAAAGCACGCTGTTTTGTGTTGTTTGGTTGGAATACTGGTGTGCAGCAAAAAAAAAACTGTGCGACAAAAGTAAAAAGTGTGCGGCTAAAGTAAGTAGACGCAGCAATTAGAAACATTCTGTACTATAATCAGTGCAAGGAAGGCCTCTATGTCAAGTTACTGTAGGAAAATATTGTTTATGTCACAAACCTAGGTTACAGAGCAGGTCTTACTCCTTTATTCCTTTAAGTTATTCCTTTAGCAGAATGTGACTTATATGGAGTTTTCTGGTTATTTTCTCAAGATATATAATTAAGTATATCATCTGATACGTGGCTCTAAACTAAGTGGAAAACCAATCAGGGGGCGTTTAAACTAAATATTTTTAATTTATAATCAGTAATAGAGTTTTTTTTTTATCTTCTGAAATTATCAGACATTTTATCGTTTGTATTCCCGTTGGTGTTACTTTACCTCAAACCCTACGTATTACCCTTTACTTTATTTACTGATAGTATACTTCTTAAAGTATCGTAAAATATTAATACTGTAAATATTGTTAATATTGCTTTAATTATTTTTTAAATAATCGCAAACTTGTTTTGGTGTGTGTTTAGATGGTTTAGGGTCTGGTTACACATTTTTGGTGTTGCATACATGATTCTCTCCCATTCTCTGTTTTTTTGTTATCTGCACTTATTTCTGGTTTTAACTATACAATCGACGAGCAAAAATTTAAAAAAATTTCGCTTTATTATGTCAGCAATGTACTAAACAGAGTTATCACTAAGGGTTGGTAAAATTTTATGAATTACAAAACACTTAAACGCTCTTTTCATATATTGGTCAGACAAAAACAAACCTTAACACTATGGTCATAAAATTGAACACTCCTTAAAAAGCCTGTTCAATCTGTGACGCTTATCAAAGGTGAAACGGGATCTGGTAAATAGTATTTAATTATTACTGACACATATCTACTAACACTATTCCAATCATTTTTCATCAATTATGCAATCAACTCAGTCCAATCAATTTACTATCAAAATCTTACATTCATGATTACTTACCTGGGGAACTTTAGTCGAAGTGTTCTTGATATGTATCCCTCCAACCTCCACCACATTGTGAGTACACGGACGACTGTAGGTCAGTGAAAGGTGACTGTTCATCAATATTAGCGAGGTATTTCTAACAATCTCTTCGATTGGGGGTAGTCCTTCAAAGTATTCATCGACCATATTTTGTACTTTGGGTAAAAACACGAGGTGGTAAAGTAACTTTGTGTAAATTAAGAAAAAGGTATTATAAACTCTCTCAAAGAATGTCATTTCACTACCTACATCCAGATAGTAGTTAGGTATATACGAAGGGTTGTCCGGTAGTCCTACACGGTCTGACAGCCACGGTAGGGGGAAACTAGTAACTATTGATACAAGAGGAGCTCCAAACTTAGACGCGAAAGGAGCAAAGCAATCGTTGGTGAATACCTCGGTGATCACCATATCGAACTTCTTGGTGGATTTTAGAAGCATTTTTACTTGATTATTGGAGTAAACCGCTTTGCACATGTCGTAATCGTTCTTCGCCATATACAGCGGGGAGTGCAGCTGGTTGGGCATGTTTTGTCTGATTCCCTCCAAGGCGATGTTTCCAACCCATTTGCTCGCCTCGGTCTCCTCAGACACGTCAATCTAGGCAAAGAGTTACTAAAGTTATTTATATTAATATTTTAATATGTTAATAAAAACTGAAGAGACTAATTTGAGAAGCTAACTTCGTGCTCGCATAAAAATATTCAAAAAGTGTTCAAAATTAATTATAACATAATGTCCTTGTGAATATTGTAAAAGATATATTTTCGTACGTTTTGTATAATTGTACATTATAGTTGCCAAATACCCATTCCATGTAGGAGGGAGTGAATATTTTTGAGTGATTATTGATCGTACTCATTCTTCCTGAGCAGTGCTTTACATTCGCATTCCTTTCGGAGCAGTGCTTTACACTCGCATTACTTTCTGAGCAGTGCTTTACACTCGCATTACTTTCGGAGCAGTACTTTACACTCGCATTCCTTTCGGAACAGTGCTTTACACTCGCATTACTTTCGGAGCAGTACTTTACACTCGCATTCCTTTCGGAACAGTGCTTTACACTCGCATTACATTCGGAGCAGTACTTTACACTCGCATTACTTTCGGAGCAGTGCTTTACACTCGCATTCCTTTCGGAGCAGTACTTTTCACTCGCATTCCTTTCGGAGCAGTGCTTTACATTCGCATTCCTTTCGGAGCAGTACTTTACACTCGCATTCCTTTCGGAGCAGTGCTTTACATTCGCATTACTTTCGGAGCAGTACTTTACACTCGTATTCCTTTCGGAGCAGTGCTTTACACTCACATTACTTTCGGAGCAGTGCTTTACACTCGCATTACTGTCGGAGCAGTACTTTACACTCGCATTACTTTCGGAGCAGTGCTTTACACTCGCATTCCCTTCGGAGCAGTACTTTACACTCGCATTCCTTTCGGAGCAGTGCTTTACACTCGCATTACTTTCGGATCAGTACTTTACACTCGCATTCCTTTCGGAGCAGTGCTTTACACTCGCATTCCTTTCGGAGCAGTGCTTTACACTTGCATTCCTTTCGGAGCAGTAGCTTTCGGACGAATGACTCTCAGAGAAGTACATCTCGGAACAGTGCCTGTCGTGGAAGTGCCTTGTCATGAATATTCTTTTGCATCAGTACCGTTTAGTTATCTTCTGTTTAAAGCAACGCCTTTTAGGGTAATGACACGCACCAGTTAAAAAAGAAGTAAATTCTTTTTTAACCCTATTTTTAACCTTTCGATAATGAAACGCTCGTTATTAACAAACCGTTGAACAACTAAATGGACTTACAACTTCCATGACACTATCTCTTATTTAAGATTAGTCTAGTTTCTCAGCTAATTAATAATTTTAACAAACTTTCTAACTAGAGAACATTGCTAGTTAATATACTGATTCAAACTTTATGATGAATAATTCCGACTGTCCTAGAGACGCTGAAGTCTTAGTGAAAATCATAGGAAAATGGAAGATTTACATTAGATTTATTGATCTTGTCTAGAATTCCTAGGGCTAGGGAGCTTAGCAAGGGGAGGAGTCCTCTTTTATGGGCACTGATGCTGAAGACTGGGAAATCGGGGTTTAAGTAGGTCTATTGCAGATACGCATTCAAAAAAAAAAAAAACACATAAAATACGCATAAAAAACTAAAACGCTTCAATACAAATGTGGTCCAATTTTAATCTTGACCATCAGCTTAACATGGATGAGTCATTTTCTTCAGCCATCTCTGTGTTATTTGATATCTCTGAAGGCCAAGGCCATTCCGTAAATGTCGATAAAAGGTCAGCAGGGTTATTGTACCAAGAGATAAGTTGATCTATATTTTCGGTCAGATTCGTCAAGGTTTTAATGATCAGACGTACATTTTTTAACATCAGCTGTAAACGTTTCAAAATAATGTAAAAGGTATAATTATTAACGTTGTGGAGTACCAATTGTGGCGTTGAAACTCAACAGAAAGAATGCAGAACAGAAAGTTATTGAAGATATGTTATTTGATAGCTTACAGCTCTCGCAAAAACTTCTTGAGGGCTAATGCTGGTGCTAGATTTCTTAATTATTATTACATGATAGGTGATTGATTAAGTAATAAATTACCTTTGCAAAACGGTAATAAATAAATTCATATGTTCCAAACTTTGAAGTTTATCCATAAAATCAAAATCGTTCAACATATGTTACCGATAAAGTATATAATTAGTATTTAATATATTGTTATAAACTACATATAAACTGTAAAACCTATTTCTCGAAAAGAAAACTTTCGTCGATGGTCTTTTGTTTGTCTCTTCAAAACTATTAAAGGAATACGAACTTTGTCTCAGACCCCACTGGGAAGAATGTATTCAAGATAACTTAAAAGTATATCAATCTATATATCTAATTCCGTAAGCCCAAAATTTTACAACGAAATTGTGAGCGAACTGGAGGCCGTAGAAAGCTGGGAGGAGTCTCATTTTAAAGGTCTGTGCATGACATTTTGGGGGAAATTATTCATTTTTCTTAATTATGCACCAAAAGGTTGTTACAGAATAAGATAGTTCACATTAAATAGCATGGGAATCTAGGTCATGTTTGCTTTGTTTACTTTAAGACATGAGGTTTAACTTTATTTAAAGCATATGGTAAAATGTACTGTAATATGTATACTATTATAAAGGTGAAATAGACTTTATCCCAATTTTAAGGGTCTGGATTAGTAAATACGATTGGTTGTGTTAGGTATGTCTGAAAAATTGTAACGTTAGAAGTCATTTACTGGAGTAGGCAAAGGGAACATATTTTTCATGCCAAAAAATAAAACTTATAACTACAGATCTTAATATGTCGTTTAAGTTTGGAAGGACTCAAATCCCATTGCAATTAGCTTTCGCTATTACTATAAATAAAGCGCAAGGCCAAACTTTCACAAAAGTTGGCATTTATTTGAAAAAATCTGTTTTCACCCATGGTCAACTTTATGTTGCTTTTAGCCGGGTAAAGCGGCCAGATGATATTAAAGTAGTAGTAGAACCAAATAAAGACAAACAATCGCCAAAAATTGATACTACAGGCTATAACAAATGTTGTTTTCAGAGAGATTTTGTTATAGAATTAGCATTTTACAATTTGGATGACATTACATTTATGTGTTTCATCTAAGTGAATATGTCCATATACAAAGAAATTTATGTATATTTAATTAATAGTCATGAAGATTATTATTGAAAATGTTCCTTAGTTGTATTATGATTAGAAAGTTTGCATTATAAACACCGCATGAACAGTCCTTTGGCATTTGTATTTTAAGCAGAGCAGACATCAAAATCCATTATGCAGGTATGTAATAACTATTATATATATTATAATATACAAAAATGTTAAACGATAATTCAAAGTAGGGTAACCCATGAGACTAATAATTTTTACAAAAGGGGATATTGCCCCTACAAGCCACTAGTAAATTTATATTTCCCTTAAACTGATTCCTTAGATAGGCTTATTTATAACTAATGAGGTATGCAGATAGATACTACTCACATCTACCAAATCTGTCACATCGATTGCACCAATTATTCGTAGAATTAATCATGGGAAAACGTGTGACGATGCATATAAAATATTAAATTATATGAATTGCCAAGTGGTTTTAGTGTTGAAATCAAATCCAAAGAAACATGTTTCGATTCCAAGCGAGATCGTTTCTGGACTCAGATGACATTTGTTATTGTGATGTAAATTAATAATCCTGTCTAACAAAAGGGAGAAATAGGATAGTGACAAGTCCAAGGTTTAGTCCGGCCAGTACAAAGAAACGTAAAGAAATTACAATGGCTTAGAAACGCTAAAGAAAAAAAAATTTCCATTTTTTAAAAATTGATTTTAAAGTAAACAATTTTTACAGTTTATCATTAAGCACGCAGATAAGACATCTGTTTTTCATCGTATGATTTTGAGAAACCTCGCAATTTATTGTTATGGTTTGTACTTATTATATGAGTCTCTAGATTGAATAAATTAGTTGATTTCTTAAAATAAATGCAACACACAACGTTATTATTTATCATTATAAACTAGATTCACAGTGGATTGTTTAGAATGTCATTGACAGAATCGCTTTAACAATTAAACATTTTTAAACTATACATTGTTGGCAATTAACACGTTTCTTGTCTTCTAAACACATCTCGCCCTCGAATAATTTAGTAGAGACCTATTATGATATATGTCTTAAACATTCAAAATACATTAAACTCGCAAAATACTTGCGTGATATATTTGTTTATATAGTCACACACGACATGCAGCTTACTACTGTACATTATTTCTGCCACCAGTAATATAACTCATCTTAATAACAAAGCAATTAATCCGTCGAAGTAAGTTTTCACGGATTAGATAGTTTCCTAACCTCGTCTAGGTTGGGTACCGGAGATTTGTGAGGGAAGCTGGTCACCACAGTCAGTTGATGCCCTCTAGCAGCAAGTTCCTCGAATAGAGGCTCCGTCACAATCAGATGTCCTCTGGCAGGCATGGGCTGGAGAACTAGGATCCGAGCACTGCTGCAGCCACTTGTATACAGTGCAACTACCAGTAGCCATGAATAGTGCATCTTGATAGAACAAGAAACATTTCTTTTCAAAATATATTCTTCAAAGGAGTTTTTGGTTGCAATTTCCATTTGTAACAATTTTTTTTCATAATGCTTTTTTAGCCTCTTAAGATTATGCCTACCCATATTAAAACTAGTGTAAATATGGCAAATCCTTGATTTACAATTAACAACACTGATATTGAGGTTGCAAATGGACAATGAACATTCGTCTATTTAAGTCTACTTCCACCTAAGACTGTAATTAATAAAATAGAATCAATTTTATAAATTATTTTAGATGGGGACGCCACCTAGGTGAATATTTTAACCCAAATATGAGTGAAAGGGTGGGTGTAGATTGATGTGAGATGACCTGTGTAGCTTTGTTACTGACTGAGATCAGCTATGGTTTTTCAGTCAGGACCATTTATTAAAAGCCCAATGATTAAGGACAGCTGGGTCCGGTTTTGAACTATCAAAAAAATTAAGACTTTTCTCGGGCAAAAACTAAAAAGTACATTAGTGTGCACTGAGGAATATACTTTTGACAGCTTTTATTTTCTAAACCTTTAAAAATTAATGGGAAATTTTCTTAATCACTAAGTAGGCTAGTATATATTCGAATATTGTCGTAACTTTCATTTATACTTTACTTTAATACTTTTCATTGAAATGGCGACCATACAAAGTAGGTATTTAAGTCATGTATGAATGGAGATATGTGTAGGATGAGTGCGATCTTGTATTCTTGTTAGTGACTAAGGCCGACCTATTTCTTAGACACAGCTGTTAATTAATAGCCCATACAGCTAATGGGAACTATGGGACCTACAGTTTGTAGTGGAATCCGAACCACTTTTTTTCCTTGGTATATACGAATTGGTCTAATTATCAGGATAGAACTGCGGATATTCGTAGTACTAACTAGTGCCGGCGTTAATCCACACCAGGGAGTATCGCATCCACAGTGCATGCCTATAAATATCCACAATTCGTCACCTCCTAGTAGCTGGAATAGAGGACGATGCCACCGCCCCAGTCGTCTTTGTATACTTGCCTTTGCATACTTTGTTTTACGTTACCGTACGTTTTGTTTTAAAATACCTCCAAGGCGTTAGGATGATTTTGAATTGCTCCGTTTAACCAGTGAAATAAGATAATAAGTACTGCCAATCCACCCACCATTATGTAACTGTGTATATTTTGAAGACTTCATGATATAAGGATATTTCGTATACTTGCTATTTTCAGAACGTATGAAATGATAAATGTTCTAATTAACCATTCCAAAAAGAATTAAATCAACATTATTGTTTAAAAACAGAATGCTATAATTTAAAGTTTTGCGAAAAATCCAAATGAAATGGGTTTCATAGGTACTGTTGTAAAACAACATTTTAATACTTTTTTAAGCACCCTGCACTATATAGTATCTACCAAACTTACAATAAAAGTAAACAGTTTAGGTAATGTTTGTAAGACGAACAAGAAAGATTACTGGGCAATCAAATTTTTAAATTTAAATAGCTTTGAAAAATGTATATGTATCTAAGATGAGATGTAGATAATATCTATGATGCAGGATGAGAGAGCTAAAAAGCTAAACAGATTGTTTAAAGCTAAATAATGCTACTCTTGGACAATGAATATTTTTGAAAAGTAAATTTTGATAAACAAAGGTTAGGAGAAATAGAACAAATTAAAACGTATCAAATAGTTAGGTTTAATTACTATTTGTTTGTATTTTCATTACTTATTTTACATTGTAGCTTTTAGTCCTATAGGACTACCGCAATAAATTAATATTTGACTTACCTTGTCAATCCTTATCCACTTTTCAACTCGACGTGCGCTTTGTATTAACACTCAACAGTTAAACACTCTTCCTCGCCTCGTATAAACAATATATTTATCTACTGAAGACTTATCAGTGTCGGGTAAACAGCGCAGCTCCCAAGCCCCTTTAAACACCTCTTACATCATTTCTGTTTGTGGTCAATGAGTAGCACTGACCATATAATAAATACCTCAGTGTAAAACAAATTAAAACATTTCAAAACTTTTGTTTGTCAGTAAAAGAAATTCTTGCTGTGTTTTCTTTTGGGAAAACATTTGTATTTTAAGTTATATGACAAATTTATGAAAACTACATATATAATTTATTACAAATTTAGTTAATATATGATATTGGTTATAGTGACGATATGTTTGTTTAGTTTTGTAAGGGCGTTTGTATAGGAAATTTATGTCATTTAAGAGCTGTTATTTTAACTTTTGCAGTTTTTTGCTCAATCGACCATCTTTGGAGGGGTTTTACCTAGACCAAGTGGGTTGATGATTAATAACAATTAATCAACATTAATTAACAATGATTCAGCAATGTCTCATTGTATGCTGGAAAACAAAGTAGATGAGTTACTTCATAAGTTTTAAATGCAAGAGGATTTTACCAAATATCTAGTTCAGGTGTCATCTCCTGTAAATCATGTGGGGACTGAAAGTGTAAAATATGTCGTTAAAGATTCTGCCAAAAATCTGGGGGATTATCGAACATCTGCTCTTAATGTATTTAACTCAATGAAACTAGGTTTTGTTACTGATCCTAACCATCAACAAATTTATTCTAACATTATTTCAGAGTATTAACCACTTGATCATATGTCAAAATTAGGAAGTGATTCCGTAGAAAAGACTCAAATATTTAACTTACCTCACTATGGCCTCCTAGAGATACCAGTTCAACCGCAGGGAAATCAACAATTATTTACAAAAAACGATCCCTATCTGACAACCTCATTTACGTTGTAACACTGAAGACAGCTACTGGAACACTCGAGAGACCAATAGCGAAATTGTGCACTCGTCCTGCCACTGCATAAAATTGCCCAGTTATCTGTTGCAACTTGGTGGGAGAGTATGTTATAAGTACTGTGTCTACAATCTACTGCCTGCATCTGTACATAAGATCACATGTTGCAACCATTGTTATAATCCGAGTACATTTCTCCGTTTACTTTTTGTAAGTTCTTTCTCAACCATGTTGAATTATCAGATAGTACTTTTTATTTAGTGTAATATTATCAATATTGATATAGTAGTTTACGCAACGATTGCGTTAAGTTAGTCTTTACGACACGAGGAGAAAATTTAAAAAACTAAAAAAAAAATAAAAATTTAAATACTTCTACGAGTGTCGTAAAGACTATTAACGCGAGTTGCGTACACTACTTTACCTACGACAGTTTTTTAATTACTAACAATCTGGTTTTCAATTACTAAAAATCACTACTCATTACTTCTTAGAGAGGTTATGTTTTCGTTTATTGTCAGTGACAATGATAGGAAAGTGATGCAACGACTTATTGTATAATCAGCTGATTTCCTGTAATTACGTGTTTGTAAAACTTCGTTAAAAAAATACGTTACCTTTTTCAGGGAATGTGTTCTACTAGCAGCATGCTTACCATAAATACTGCATCAGGTACAATTAGGAAAATTTTGCATTTTGTTTTTGACAACTGAATGGTTATAGTAAAACAGTTAATTTACAGTTACATCTCAGCATCGAATATTATAGAATATTATAAACAGTTTGTTCTCTCATTTCCATCTCGTCAACTTCACTTTCACTAACTGACATTATTAAATCAGTTTAATCTACCTTCCTTTGACTTCCACAAACTTAGGTTAAGAATACGCGAGTATCAACAGGAACAAGTCAGATCAACAATTAAATTGGTCAACTGTTCAGCTGATCAGCTGATTAGTTGACGTTCGAAGCATTACAATTTTAATTCTTTTCTCTCAATTCTTGAACCTCATTGGTCCGTTACCCGTGTTGATATGAGAAAAACTATGCTGATATGAAATGAAACTATGCTGATATAAAAGTAAACAGATGTTAAGTGAAACTTTTCAATTCTAAGAACTGGACTGAAATGGCTACTTTTAAAAACGGTCGTAGGTAAAATCATTATCAACACAAGCATATATTTTTTCAAACTATATTTTTTAATGGGGGGAAATGTATTTGGCATTATAAACACAAAAGAAACTGAATGAATGAATACGGTCATCTTATTAGAGTACAAATTATATCTTATTTAACTGGAGTGGGAACAAAAGAGATTTGATATTACAAACTTTAATTTATGATTCAAAACTATATACAACAATTGGATAATTTCCATAAGGTCACTGCATTTTTAGTTAATATTCCATACTGACCCTGTTGAGTGCACCTCGTAAAAGCAAACCTGAATTTTTGTGTCGGTTTTTGTTCGAACATCTAAGAGTAAAATATCATAACAAAAATCTGTTTTTAATATTAAAATCTAACTAATAAATACATCACTTATTCATTACGTTTTTGGGAAAATAGTGTGTAGATAATTATAATTTTTAAAGTGACTCCTTCAATGCCTTCTATATTTACCCATCCTATCACGCATTCATGTAGGCTCAGACATTGCCTCGGATGTATGGACGGCGCTAACGCTCGCTGCCAACGATATTGTAGGAACAGAACAACACTGTACTAAGTAAACAAAATTATTATTTTCTAACTAAACTGACAAATATTTTTCTTTGCTTAAATCGTTACTGACTTACTGTATTCTAGACTTGTATAGAGTTTTGTTTGCATAAGAACTTAAGTACATATTCAGAATATGTTATGTTTTCAAATAGAAATGAAACTTTAAAAAATATTTGTGAACATCAACATTTGGCGTGGTAATAGCTCATATTCCCCATTAACATCTAAGACTATTCTATTCTAATATCATCAGATATAGACAGTTGTTGATGTGGTTTGGTATCATAATGCGAAAAAATAAGATCACATAAAATCTTTTAGGTACATCATTTGTGTTATTTAGTTGTAATACGTTTCTGGACTATTTCCGACTTGCCTCGTGAGCTAGCATTTCTCATATCGGAGCTATTTATTCTATATTTTTAACAGAAGCCCTATAGGGGAAGTTACACTATTCCATTATAAGCTCTACAAAAATAAAAATATGAAAAACGCTGTATTTTGCAAACTTAAAGGCAGACATACTTAACCAATTTTACGATTAAGACATCATTTCAAATCGTATCAGTAACTAATGGTAGCTAAAAGGTAATATACTTTACTTTAGGGCTTCGCCCCCCCCCCCCAACGTTTTATTTATTTATAGAATTCACTATCAAAGATTTCATGATGATGAGTAGCTCTCTCCATTAAAATCTTTTTTAACAACTGATGACTCAGTGGAATGATTAACTACTCACTGTGATATTATAAAGTTGCACCAGTTGACGCAAAGTGATTTGAAATATTTCTGTTTCTGATAATTGTAACTTATGGAGGTTGGTTAATCAGTCTTTAAAGTGTAGATCTAAAGTTTACCAGATTTATTATATTGTAAATTAGCGGTTGAATTCACCTGACAATTGTCTTTATTAAACGTATTCCTTTGACAAGTTAAAGGATATTTCATAATCAATTGTGCCTCGGTAACAAGTTTTGAATCCTATTAAAACACGCAAATTACGCACGGGTCCTTAAGGAACAATACAGGGTGACCCCGAACTCTCTACCGACATTTTAAGAAGTTACCTGCACTAAAGCCAAACTAAACTATCGAGTTAAAATTTCCTAAAATTTAAATATTTCCTGGTACAGCCGGTATATTTTTACGAAACTATTTTTATACCGATAACAATTGTCTGTAGTGAACTAATTTGGTTCATAGATGAATAAGACAGAGAACTATAAACTAACTTTTGGTTGAATAAAAAAAATTAAAAATACACAACCTAGCATGTCGATCAAGAACATAACGCAGCAGATTACTTTTAACCATTTTAACTCATCACCTCCTAGCCGCGTTTGATTGTTTGTTACGATTGACTGATTTGACTGATAAGTCAAATATGACATGTAATCAGACACGACTAAGAGGTGTTGAGCAAGTGGTATAATGTTATCTGCTGCGTGTGGTATGGATCAGTCAAATGTGACAAGCAATCAATTGCGTCTAGGAGGTGATGAGCAAGTGGTAAAATGTTATCTGCTGCGTGTGGTATGGATCAGTCAAATGTGACAAGCAATCAATTGCGTCTAGGAGGTGATGAGCAAGTGGTAAAATGTAACCTGCTGCGTGTGGTATAGATCAGTCAATTGTGACAAGCAATCAATTGCGTCTAGGAGGTGATGAGCAAGTGGTATAATGTTATCTGCTGCGTGTGGTATGGATCAGTTAAATGTGACAAGCAATCAATTGCGTCTAGGAGGTGATGAGCAAGTGGTATAATGTTATCTGCTGCGTGTGGTATGGATCAGTCAAATGTGACAAGCAATCAATTGCGTCTAGGAGGTGATGAGCAAGTGGTATAATTTTATCTGCTGCGTGTGGTATAGATCAGTCAATTGTGACAAGCAATAAATTGCGTCTAGGAGGTGATGAGCAAGTGGTAAAATGTTATCTGCTGCGTGTGGTATGGATCAGTCAAATGTGACAAGCAATCAATTGCGTCTAGGAGGTGATGAGCAAGTGGTATAATTTTATCTGCTGCGTGTGGTATAGATCAGTCAATTGTGACAAGCAATAAATTGCGTCTAGGAGGTGATGAGCAAGTGGTATAATGTTATCTGCTGCGTGTGGTATGGATCAGTCAAATGTGACAAGCAATCAATTGCGTCTAGGAGGTGATGAGCAAGTGGTAAAATGTTATCTGCTGCGTGTGGTATGGATCAGTCAAATGTGACAAGCAATCAATTGCGTCTAGGAGGTGATGAGCAAGTGGTAAAATGTTATCTGCTGCGTGTGGTATGGATCAGTCAAATGTGACAAGCAATCAATTG